ATTTGCAGACAATCCGTAAAACGGTCGAACAAGAGAGAAAACCCGACAAAAAATAATACTACACAAAATACGACAGTTGAAGCACGTATAAAAAATAATAATAACACTTTGATGTCGTTAACACTTTATTTACACTGTTTTTTTTTTTTATATATATAGATTGAACGATGAAAACAATACTCTGATTACGATGGAAAAAGAAGTAGTGCATTAAATATCCATTTAGTTGTTCCACAATAATAATTGTAAAATAGTTTTAATAAAAATGTATATGACAGTTCAGTGCATTAAATGGACTGATGAGCCTAATATTGCGACACTTTTTTCTCACCATACAAGTTGGAAACGTTATGTTCCCAACAGTCGTTAGCACTTTGTACACGTTTTAATTTATTTAAATCCTGGCATAAGCAATATACGCTAACGTCCTCCAAAATCCTACACGATTTTCGAAATTCCACGTGTGGCTGTGTATATCTAATACGTTCCATCATTTTTACATAATATAATATTATAGTGCATAGTAAATCCTCACGTTAGAACTGACTATCATGATTTTAAGACTTCGAGACATTCAACTATTGCATACATACTTGTATGATTCTCATACGTCAATTTAAAAACAATTATACTTTTAAATAATTAAAAATAATCTTATGTTTCTAAAACAATTATGTGGCAAAAAGTATTATCAAAGTTTTGCTATACAATTGGAATTACTTCAAATTAATGAGGTTCACTAGCAGCATTGAAAATTAGTTATAAACTGGTCATAATACATATGTATATTTATATATATATTTTTTATTTATATTAATATTATGTACATTATACCTATTTTCTTAACACTGTATAAGAATAATTTTTAAATTAATTATTTTTAAATCAAGTATTTTAATGTTTTGACCCAACTATCAAACTCTAATAAAACATCTTCTAAACAATAGTAAAAACATTTGAGCCCGTCTACAAAACAATGGTTGAGCGACTTACAATCAAATGTTTTATTTGTGGATTATAGCAAACACCAGGTTGCTTAAATAGAAGTTGACTTAACTAAATTTTCCGTTAAAAATACTATTTATTTAATAAATAAAGTTTACTACACAAATTTGTCTTCAATGTAATAACACCACCCTTTGTTATTCAAAACACCTAAATGTTGCTAAAATTTTATATTATAATTTAAAATATAGTAACCTATATATCTTAATAATTTCTCAAGTAAGCACAATATTTATACTTGAGTTGTTTATTATTATTATTTTATCAAAGAAGGTGGCAAACGCAATTCCAAGAATACATTATAACTTACAAAATAAAACGATAAATATGATAAAGTATATTTTGATGTTTTTTGTTAATATAATGCATTATGTTATAATAATAACATAATATCTACTCAACACGAAAAAATTCAAAAACGGCTTTCAACTAAAATAGTACATTGAAATAGAAACCAATCATCTGTGTTTTGAACTGTGTTACAATTACATCAAATTGAATAGCAATCATCGATACTCCCCGCAGTATATTTTGTTATACCATGGACCATTATCAAGGTTAAGCGTTAGAATTTCAAGTTATTTCAATATCATATTAGTCATTCTGTTGAATCATTCTTGTAATAACATTTTAACAAAGGTTTGCAATTGATAATGAATGATGGATATAAACAATAACCCATTACATGCGATACACCGTACTTACTCGTAAGAACATATAACTTAATAACACTACACAGATGAGCAACAGTTAATTTTTAATTAAACATTGATTAATCGACACTTTTTAGGCCCAACAGGCAACGACATCTCACATCTGTATTCAGGTAATGATTCAATTTGTTTAGCCAAAATGATCTTAGTTATTAAATCTATGATTTAAGTATTTTTTTTACAACGAAGTTTTTTGTTTTTTTGATTTTGTGAGTTCTTTGTTTTTATAAGAATTTTAATATTAGTTATCGTAGAGGTGTTTGACAGTCATCTTTTCTGTTCTATTTGATATTCTCATTTCCAACTTGATTTATATAAAAAAATATGTATAATTCAACACAGTAAAACAATTTGATTTACACTTTTTTTAGATTAAACGCACTTAACTTGAAATCCAATAAAAACTATGCTGATTTTTAAATTGAATACATAAAAATATTATTAACAACTTAAAAAGAAGGCGTGCTCAAAAAAACTTTTAATCTGTAGCTTGTAATCCCGGAAATGTTGTATAACTTTTTAAAAAACAAATATGCCTTTATCATATTACTTTTTATACGGGTTTTTCATTCCACAAGAGTAAATACTAAATTGTTAGCGGTGCATGAAGACGATAACACATCAAGAGACAATAAAATTACCAGAGTTCAGCCACTTTAAAGAAAAAAAACTTTGTCTAAAGTTATGTATTTTTTTAATAGATAAAACAAAATTATAACGATGAACGAGAATTAAAAGAATAATAATTCAATGTATTAATATTTGTAAAGAAAAAATTATTAACAGAATTAAAACAAATACAAACAAAAAATAATTTCTAGCTGAAAACAAACTTTATTTTTATTCTAATAATGACGAGTTACAAAATTGATACGACCACTCTTTAAGACCTAAGTAACGATATTATATTATTTTATTTTTGATTAAAATTATTTTCTATTATTATTTTTTCTTTTTTACTTCGAAGTTGTTTTATGTACATTCATTAGAAATTGAGCGAGTTCCAAAATTCGTTTTTTTTGGAAATATGTTTTTATATTAGAATGAATTATTTATCCCTATAGTCTTTGTGATTAAAAACATATAAAACAGTAATTGTAAGTATAAAGTGCAAATAAGTAATAAAATCGGAGAATATCGTTATTCGACAGTACTGTATATATTTTACGCCTAACCCAAAATGATAGATATTTTTATTAATTTAATTACAGAGTTATTAGCATGGACCATGCTATTTAGTCTTGGGCTCCAGCCGGAAAACGACACTAAATAGTAACACTAAACTGCGATACTAAAGTAGCGCGCCTACTTTAACCGTATAATCTGATGCCATTGAAATAATGAGTGGTCGTCATGCAAACGTTTGGTCAGAACATATAATTAAGACGATACTATCATCATAAATCGCAAGGAGGTTATAGATCAGAAATAATCACTTTTCAGGAGCCAGCATGCTAAAGCTTGTTCAATGTTAATTTTAGCCGCTAGGCTTTAAGTAGACTGTAAATTGTATTTTTTTTTTACTTTTACACTATTATACACTACACTGTAGTCTGTAATCATTATCACTACGTTTCTACATTATATTTTCACTTAAAAAATACATAAAGATAAATAAAAAAAAAATACAGTAAAATAGCACACAATAGATATATATGTTATCATGCATACAATATATTATGTAGGTACAAAGAGTATCGGATAATTAATTAAATCCAACGACACATTCTTAGTGTTTAAAAAACAAGTATATACATTGAGAACAAATTTACTGCAATTTTTTACGAATTGTTGTTCAATAATATGTTGTATCAATTAGTCAAAAAAAAAAGGTAATTTATAATTTAAAAATATATGACTTGATTGTCTGTCAAGAACGATTTTGAAAAAGGTTAATAACGCTTAAAAATATACTCGCTTGTTTTAAAAAAAAAAAAGTACTCCTCTGACGTAGCTAGAAAAATGTTTTAAATTGTCTATACTACTTTCTACCGCCCGTTTAAATGTATTTTTGAGATATGTAGACATCTTAAAAATGTCTACACTTTTTCAAAGATATTGAATTTTGCAAAAGAAAAATGTTAAAAATAATAATCTTTTATAATTTGCGACTTTCAATGTTATTGAAATCATTTTAGTTGACATTACGTCGTATATATTTTTGTCTAAACCATTTACTCAAATTACCAATAAGGTTTCTGCTTATGACACTTATGAAGTGTCAAATCGAAAAATGGTTTAATATCATTATCGACCGCACCATTACATTACATTCGTCCGTCTACTTTTTAATACATTTTTCAAAAACTTCTTTTATGATTTATTTTTGGTCGATCGCAAAAACACACCTCTTTTTTCAACGGCAGGTTTGCATTTTCCAACAAACAACTTGCGGATTTTGTAAAATAGAATTTTTGTACACAATAAACGACAATGTTAACTTTGCACAGTTCATGATATTTATTAACATTTTATGTGAAACAATATAATATTTACCACAAAAGTGCGTTAAACATTTCCTTGATGTTTCTAACTATTTCAAAAACTACGTTTCTAAAATAGTTTAACCAACCACTATAGCGGTAAAAGCTTTCGAAAAGCTTTTTAGTTTTTGTTGATACATTGTAATATATTCATTGAATATAATTGAATCTCACTAGATTGTGTGTTCCCACAAAATTCAATATCGATGGTATAACGGCACAAAACGTGTAGGGTTTTTTTTCGTCAAACTGAAAACGATTTTTTGGCGGCAAAAACGTTCACGGAGGCGATAGATTTAAGCCTTAAAACTTATATGCATTATAAAATTTGAAATTGTTTCGATGAACGGCCAATGTGATAATCTAAGTGGTAGAGCACATGCAATTGTTTTATCTATGAAAAAATAACTTTTTCAAAATAATAAATACGCCAGCCTCGGTTTATATGGACAGACCAATATTGTGTTCGTCTTAAAAACAATATGGGTTTATAACAATTCTTGACAATGCCGATTAATATATCAACATTGAAAGAAAACCACATAAATATACTTGATTTATACAAGGTCTTTTATTTTAGTTGCGTTTACCGTTCGGCGATTGTCTCGAAAATGAACGAGCATTTTTCTTTTCGGCTTAAGCCGATCTGAAGTTTTAGAATATGCATCGACATTTCCATAAGACACAAATGTATTCTAACAAAGTTTACAAAAAACCATTAGCTTTATTATCATTACATGAATTTCTAGTATTTAATTAGTAATTACTAATAATTACTATTCAATAAGAGATTACTCACTCGTATGGCATTGACGAAGGTGTACGACGTTATCTCGGGCCAGTGCCACGACAGCAGTGTTAGCGGTCCGCTGACCAAACACACCAAACTGTCGGCTACACAAAGGTTCAGCAGCAACAGGTTGCTGGCTACTTTTTGGCTGAGCGACAGCCCGAGAAACACAAAAATGTTGGCCGATGTACCGATTAACGCTACCAACACAACATGAACGGTCATAGTCGTTAGTATTAATTCCTCAAAGTGATCTTCTGCAAAAAGAAATAAACACATTTTGTTAATAAAATATTTGATCATTAAAAACAATTTAAGTCTATGAGTATGGTAATGGCTTTTGATCATTCCAACTTATTAGGAAGTAAAGTAATAATTTTAATAAATTGTCTTTAATAATATTATACTGTGTTAAGGCCTATAAGGCCAAGTTTATACTTGGCTACAGACGTTATACAACGTACATTTTCTATTTATGTTTTTCTCCGACAAGAGTGAAATTTTATAAAACGGATCAAAAGCAAACAAACAGTTAGTGTAATCGACATTTTTTAATCTACGGCCTTGTAAAATATCATCAGAAAAATAAAACAGTAAGAAAAATAATTTTTGAATGCACTAAAGCACCTGTCGCAAAACTATAGTTTTAACTTATATGTTTTAATATGGTTTACTTGGTATCCTTGGCAATCGTTCGTTTTCTATATTCCTAAATACGTAAAGAACAAGTACAGAAATATTAAGAAGTATATTAAGTCGGTAAAAAAAAGTAGGGAAAAAATACATAAATAAAAATCAACCTATATATCTAAAGTCATTAATTTGACATATCCTGCTAGCGGAAACCATAAAATAATCTTGATTTTGCTAATTTATAATTAAACTATTATAATGAGCTGCACACAAATTAGAAATCGACCTCTTTTTTCCTATTCTAAAAATGAAAAAGTAGTCCAGATTCGAAATGATATACATTTTAATAGAAGTCGCTTAGCTACATCCACTTTCAACTAGAAGAAAAACAACGGTACAGTTTTTAACAAACATTTTTTTACCGCAGATATTTCCCATGCTAAGCGGAGGCCTAAGTTTTGTAAAGAAATTATTTTAATTTTGTGTACTAATATAATATATATATATTATATATATGAAAAGAAACATTGTAAATTAATAGTTTGCCGAAGGTCAATTACTCGGTCCCTATGTGTACACCTACATAACATGAACACGTTTCTGTTCATATATTTTATATTTGTGGTCGCATCCGTCATATCCAACCAAAACATCTGCGGTCATTCCCTCTTTTTGACATGCAAATATAAATATATATATACTTCCCGTAAACGCTAAAGAATACTATAAGCCGGTTGACAGTTTGCCGTACTAGCAGCGGTGTTGAAAAAAATATTTGTATATTACTACAATGATAAATTTAAAAAAAAACAATGAAACTCAGCAACAAACTAATAAATAATAACTTATACGCCAACTTAAATTTGTCTATCGATACATCTGAAATGGCTTCACAACTTAAACTACAATTAACGAAAAACCTTCAAGCTTAAAAGACAATTTTGAATTTAATTATATTGCGTTACCACGCTATAGTCACGAATGTGTTGTATACCGAATCGAATTGAAACGTTTACCTCCACTCAAGAGGTTGTTTATGATTTGTTCAATGTACATCGCAATGTTTTTTTTTTTTTTGTGATCAACCCTAAGGTTGGTTTTGCAGTTTTCCGTAATTTCTCCATTCATCTCTATTGTCAGCTAGCCTCTTTTATTACTTATAGTTTGTTAGACCTGCATCGGAAATCATCCGTTTGATGTAAGATGTTCTTGATCTCTTTTGCCATTTATCTTCCCTTCTATTATAATATACAGAAGCTCTTCTTCGTATCTTAAGACGTGACCAATCATATTTCATCTTCTTTCTTTTAAGTATCTTCCTTAGGTTTCATTTATTTCGTTTAAAACATTTTCGTTGGTTCTTCTTTCCGTCCAGCTTACTCGCAACATTCTTCTACAGCATCACATCTCGAAACTTTCAAGGAACTTTTGTTCCGCTTTATGTTCAGTACCAATGATTCGCATCCGTATAGTGCGACACTCCACACATATACTTTTATCAGCCGTTTTTCATACGTCTTATACTCATGTTTTTAGAGCACAGTAGGTTTCTTTTGTTCATGAATGCTGTTTTTGCTTGAGCGATCCTTGATTTTACTTCCATAGTACATTTTCCATGTTGGCTAAATATACTACCTAGATATCTATGGCTTTCCACTTGGTCGAGAGTGTGGTTATCAATTTTAATTCTTAATCTATGTTTCTTTTTTCGACACATCATTACCTTGGTTTTGTTCCAGTTGATTTTAAAGTGATCATTTTGGAAGCATCTTGCTATTTCTTCTAGCGCTCTTTTGAAATCGTTTTCGCTACTTGCAACAAGAGCTATGTCATCGGCGAATCTTAGAAATGATATCAATTCTCTTCCTACTATTACTCCAATTTTGTCTCTGATGAGTGTTTCATTTAATTTCATTGATAGATTGTTCTACATAAATATTGAATAATTTTGGTGACAGTGGACCCCCTTGTTTTACCCCCTTTCCAATTTTGGATGTTGCAGACTTGTCTGACACTTGTATTATAGCTGATTTCTATTTGTATATGTTGTATATTATCCGTCTGTCTCTATAATCAATGCCTATTTCTTCTAATGTCTTAAAAAGTTCCTTCCAGGGAACTATGTCAAATGCCTTCTCCAAGTCGATAAATGTATCGTTGTTAAATTCGATCTGTTTTTCAATTAATGTTCTTAAACTTAAGATCGCTTCTCTAGTTCCCTTGTTTCTTCTAAATCCGAATTTATCATTACTTAACTACCTATCGCAATGTTATAGCTTACACAAATACTGTAGACACTAGACATGGTTATTCGTGGAAGTGGAGAGAACCAAAAGGGTATTTTCAATAAAAAATAAGTGTTTCTGATTGTTTTTTTTTAATTGCTTTTGTAATTACTCATAATATCACATTATATGATACAAAAAATAAAATACAATACATTTAATATTTACATATATTTAAATAAGGAATCCAGCGCTTAAAATAAAGGAAATAATGGAAGAAATAACGATAGGAGAAATGTCTGTTCTTGTTTTACCAATTTGTCATACATTTTTGAAAGAGATACCTATTGAAAATGAATAATGATTGATGAACATCATAAAAAATTTTATTTTTATTTTGCTTTCATAGCATGTAAACAACAATGATTTATCACAACTCACAAATCTTGTAAATATAATAATATTGAAAACATTGAAGCTAATGGTGATGAAATATAAAACAAGCAGTAAAATCGTAGAAAGACAATTGTATTTTAAAACAAAAATTAAATAGGAGTATTAAGAAAATATTCTTATCTAAAAAGAGTGTCATAAAAAGTTGATAATTATCAAGTAAAAGCTGATAATATCTAAAAAATAGTCAACATTGAAATTTCACTAAGCCCTAGGTTATTACGGCTTAATCGCAATCGCCCAGTATTAAAAGGTGTTGATGTAATTTTTAATTGTTTTCAAATCCACACCTTAATATTGTCAAATACTGTTTATGTATGTGAAAAAAATTAACGTTTTTTTCGCCGAATCACTATTTAGGCAACGATAACATTTCCATTGTGATTCGACACCCACGGGCGTGTTTCAATTCTTCATTGTTACCTTTTTATTGAATGACTTTGTGGCCGTTAAACCGAATGATTGATTTGAGTAATTATAACAAATATTTCATTCGCCGACACAATATACTATATAAAAATAAATCCGACCGAACGCCGACAAAATATATACTCGGCGAGGTTAACGCGTTGCTAACATTGATAGAATCAGAATGATGCAATCCATGCTTCACTTCGTACAACGATTAACATAATATATTATATATATACAGTATATATATATATATATATATATATATATATTATGTTAGCAATTTATATTTTTAATATATTATATAATAAGTGTTTAAATTTAGTTCATGCGTGATATTCGTTACTGGAAAGAAATATCACTTGTTACTTAAATTAAACATATTAGAGTGTATATTATACAAGTTAAAATTGAAAAAATTGTTTGGTCGATGGTCAAAATAATGTTCTAATTAAAAACCAATTGATAAAGCATGACAATTTATAACTATTACAACTATTATTTTTACTTTTGTATTTAATTATGCTAATTAGGTAAAGTTAACACATTCAAATAAGACAAGAGCGTTATCAAATCTGGGCAACTTAATGATTAATATAGCTATTTAAGGGTTACAGCGGTGACAAAAACAAATGGGCAGATATGTAAATAAAGTTACAAATTAAAATAACCAAGATTTCAAATTTGACGTTTTTAATTAAAATCGAATGTATTGCCAAATTAAATAGACCATTGTAATTAATTTTTGTTGGTTATTTCTTTTAAAAAAAATTGCACCTATACTTATTGTGTTGTTGATACGTTGAACGTCCTTAACTCCTATAAGATTCATGCAGTTTTAATTTCTAGGTATTAATACCCCTAGGGCCTAGAAGGTGTACATAGTGTAAATATACTAAATTATTTATACATTAACATATAATTTATAGTGTACTACTATATTATAATGTAATAGGTATTACGAACATACATATTAGTTATGCATATTATACGTCTTAGTGTATTGCACTATAGCCTGCGTTGGTTATTAGGCGTGCCGACCTTACCAGGAGAACCTTACGGCATCAGCACTAATTTAGTTGTGTCAATTAATGGCTAAAAGTTTTGGACCGCGTTGTATCATTATCATAGTTTGTTTGATTCGTGTCGGACCGACCGGCATCGTGTGGGCAAAGCCTTGTCGGTCATAATAATAATTACAATTTATACAATAATATGCCACTGGAGCCGATGTCAAGGCGTGTTAGCTCGAATTTGAAAATATCACGTTTTTTGAAATTGATGTTTTTTTACTCTGGAAATACGGTCTTGAAGTGCTTACCGCGTTCGGATAATGAGTTTTAAGCGTTGCACTTGATATTTAGGTCTATATTATTATTATTATAGAGTTTCGGTCATAATAATAGATATGTATAGCGCATTATAATAGGTGCAGCGTGTAAAGCACACCTCTGCCTGTCGATTTCGGACGAGAGGCGTTTTTTTTTTAAGTAATACGGCCATGTGTACTAATAAACGCTATATATATTATAATT